AATTTTGAAGCCATTCACTAGGTTGAATTGGAGCTCAAGGCTGAGGCCAAGCTTTAATCAAATCATGAAGCCCTTCACTGGGCTGAATTGGAGCTCAATACCGAGGCCGAGCTATTAAACTTGAAGCCCTTAGTTGGGCTGAGTTGAAGCTCAAGGCTGATGCCGAGCTTTTAATCTTGAAGCCTTTCGTTGGGCTAAGCTCAAGGCCGAGGCCGAGCTAATAAATTTGAAGCCCTTCACTGGGCTAAGTTGGAGCTCAAGGCTAAGGCCGAGCTTCTAAACTTGAAGCCTTTAGTTGGGCTGAGTTGAAGCTCAAGGACGATGCCGAGCTTTTAATTTTGAAGCCCTTTGTTGGGCCGAGCTCAAGGTCGAGGTCGAGTTAATAAATTTGAAGCCGTTAACTGGGTTGAGTTGAAGCTCAAGGATGATGCCGAGCTTTTAAACTTGAAGCCCTTAATTGGGCTGAGTTGGAGCTCAAGGCCGAGGCCGAGCTATTAAACTTGAAGCCCTTAGTTGGGCTGAGTTAGAGCTCAAGGCTGATGCCGAGCTTTTAATCTTGAAGCCCTTCGTTGGGCTGAGCTTAAGGTCGAGGCCGAGCTAATAAATTTGAAGCCCTTCACTGGGCTGAGTTGGAGCTCAGGCTAAGCTTCTAAACTTGAAGCCCTTTAGTTGGGCTGAGTTGAAGCTCAAGGCTGATGCCGAGCTTTTAAACTTGAAGACCTTCATTTGGCTGAGTTGGAGCTCAAGGCCGAGGTCGATCTATTAAACTTGAAGCCCTTAGTTGGGCTGAGTTGAAGTTCAAGGCTGATGCCGAGCTTTTAATCTTTAAGCCCTTTTTGGGCTGAGCTCAAGACCGAGGCCGAGTTAATAAATTTGAAGCTCTTAACTGGGCTGAGTTGAAGCTCAAGGCTAATGTCGAGCTTTTAAACTTGAAGCCCTACATTGGGCTGAGTTGGAGCTCAAGGCCGAGGCCTAGCTATTAAACTTGAAGCCCTTAGTGGGCTGAGTTGAAGCTCGAGGCTAATGCCGAGCTTTTAATCTTGAAGCCCTTCGTTAGGCTGAGCTCAAGGCCGAGCTAATAAATTTGAAGCCTGTAACTGGGTTGAGTTGAAGCTCAAGGCTGATGCCGAGCTTTTAAATTTAAAGCCCTTCGTTGGGCTGAGCTGGAGCTCAAGGCCAAGGCCGAGCTATTAAATTTGAAGCCCTTCATTGGGCTGAGTTGAAGCTCAAGGCCGAGGCCGAGCTATTAAACTTGAAGCCCTTAGTTGGGCTGAGTTGAAGCTCAAGGCTGATGCCGAACTTTTAATCTTGAAGCCTTTCAAGACCGAGGTCGAGCTAATAAATTTGAAGCCCTTAACTGGGCTGAAACTTTTCCCTTATGATTTAATGACCTCCAGGTCTTCACTTGCTCCATCAAGAATTGCGACGACGAAAATCTTTATCAAATCGTCATATGCTTGGATCTAGAGCTCCATTTTAGAGTCTCTCGGAGGATCAAAAGCCCTTTTGCGGTAGGGTTTGTCTCCTCATATATATGTGGTTTCAGCAATTTCAGCGCGCGCGAGGTAGCCTGCAATCTGTGGCTTCGTACTATGCCGCACATGTCCACCATGGATGAGAGTCGAAATTTTCTGATCCCCACAGACGGCGCCAATGTTCGGTCCTGAAAAGACCATATTGCTATCCCGTATGGTATGCGCTCAGAGATACTGTATAATCAGACGTATACTAGGCTTATAGCTGATGTCCCAATCACTGCGCACAAGCAATAGGCTTATAGCCAAGACGTGAGTGTGTGCACAGTGTTGGCAGTAATAGTAAATAGGTTAAAAGTGTGTACCTGGGGTATTTAATATCTTATTTATAAGGGTTACCTATTGGGCTTGTGTAGATCTCCCAGTTGTAGTAGGATTTAACTTCCTTTCTGTTGGGACAGAGACTCTATCCTTAGCTGCCTTACTGTTTTATATTGTTAGGATAATTGCATAATTATCCTTTAAGGGATCCTTGGGTAGGTGATTAGGATATAGAAATATTCCATAATAGAATGTATGACTTGATAAATAAACAGTGTATAATGTAACCAAAGTACATCACATCACATATATGTCCTACAATTTTTTCAAATTAATAAATATTTGTAGAACATTTTTTTTATAATTAAGTTTTTCGAGTGTGTTTAAATATATTTTGATTTTTTTTATGATATATAATTAGGGATAGGATATTGTGACAACCAAGTAAAGTTACAACCAATCAATCTCACCGTTAGATTGGTAGTAGCGATCCCACGGTCCTCGTTGCTCTGTTAAAAGTCCCTCTCTATTCGTTTCTCTCTTCCCCTTCTCTCTCTTCCCTTCTCTCTCTCCGTCGCCGCTGGCCATAGCCTCTGTCCCGACGGCGCCGCCTGTCTCCGTCGCGCAGCCATCGAGGCTCCGTCGCGCCGCCGCCGCCGCATCCAACAGAGAGCTTGAATATTATCGCGGTTTTTTGATGTTCGCTGATTTGAATAAAGCCTCAAAAACCTAAATCTGATTTGAATAATATTATCTGATATTATTTATTTATTTTTTCTACACTTTTTTTACAAATCCGTATGCATCCCTTGGTGAAGCATTTCACGAAATTGAATTTGTGTTATAATGTCGGTGCTGATAATTTTTTTTGTGAAAAAAAAATCATCAAGTTTTAGTTAACGCCGACGGGCAACTTATAACTGAGTTCCTTAAAAACATCATTAAATGTGCGAAAAAGACCTTCGATCTGAACTTCGTCGATCTCTGGGTTTCATCCGAATTAAAGCCAATAATTATTTGGAAGTTTAATAAGATTTAGGTTTTCGAGGCTTTATTCAAATCAGCGAACATCAGATAACAGATAATATTCAAGCTCTCCGCTGGATGCAGTGGCGGTGGCGCGATGAAGGTAGCAGCGCCGTCGGGACAGAGGCTATGGCCAGCGGCGGCAGCAGAGAGAGAAAAGGGAAGAGAGAGAAGGGGTAGAGAGAAACGAATAGAGAGGGACTATTTAAGAGAGCAACGAGGACCGTGGGATCGTTACTACCAATCTAACGGTGAGATTGATTGGTAGTAACATTGGTTGTAACTTACTTGGTTGTCACAATATCTTGTCCCATATAATTATTACCAACTTTTTAAACATATTTTTTAATTAAAAAATACTTGCTTTTCCTAATAAAGTGTCCTTTATTGATGTTCGACTGGATAACCCTATCGGGCATTCACAAATCACATGGCAAAGTTAACACACCAACCCATTAAAGAATAAATGATATTTTCTACACCTCATTGTCCTCACTCCCACACACCGGAGACTTTTGTATGTAAGGAGATCACACCAAATGGATCCTCTTATGTTTTAATTTATACGATTATGTCATGTGAATGAATTATGACCATACAAAAGAGAATAAATGGTCATGATTTTATAATTACCTATCACAATATTTACTTCTTTCTTTCCTCTTATCACTATTAATTCACTTACCTTTGTATAATTATAATTCTCCAACATGATATGATCATGTTTATTAACACATGAAATGATCCACTCTCATTCAACAAGTACACAAGATTTAAAAACAATTATAGCATTACAGTTTTCATGTTAGAAAAATTTTCTCCTTATTATATATATCCTTAATTCTCATCAATCATCTCCATTATTATTCAAACTGAAACTCGCAGAACTCTTGATACATTGATGATAATCTAGTCCAATCACCTCCAATTTATTATGAACTTGCTTGAGACCTCACCTAACACATTTTTTTTTTTGGTAAATAAGGAACACATTTAATCCCTCACCTTTCTAACCAGTTCAATTCACAAACTCATTTGTTCACATATCGTACAAAATATTTGGTCCAAATAATCACGGTTTGTTTTTCACTTCCTGGGCAAAAAACAATTCCACCTAGTCGATGGACTTTTTGCTATGATTGTTGTACAAAACTTTACACACAACAATGAAAATCGGGAATTTTTTTTTATCTGAGAAACTTTTTTCTTTTTTGCTACCAAACGTGGCATTATAATTTTCCCCAATATATTTTCCCAAGAATTGAAATATAATCTGGTACCTAATGCCCCTTTGAAGGGAAATATAAGTCTCCTCAGACTTTTCTCTCATGCGGCAAAAACATTAAATGTGGGGTCCATTTTTTTTTAAAGAAACATGTGAGATTTTTATCGGTGTACAAGAAAATATATTTTTCTCCTCATAATAAAAATATGGGCTAAACTAATCTCCTGATGAAGGAGAAAGCTTCTCTTGTGTGAGTGACACAAATTAAAATGGTTCAATATTAATCTTTTATTTTTTTTATTTTTTAATGAAATCCATATTAAATTTATCTCACAATGAGATATAACATGAGATTAGTTTAGTCCTTAAAATATTTAACTTCCCTTTCACTATTTTCATTTGGCCATCTTTTCGGTTAAAAAACATAATTTTTGGTAACATAAATTGCTATTTTATTTTGTTTAATAATTTACTAAACAATTCGATTTTTCCTTAAAAAGCATTTCTAACCACATTCCCCCATTCCCAAAAAAAAAATGAAAATGATCGTAGCCGAAGGGAAAGGTTTTTTTTTAAAGGAAACCAGGGGTAATCTACAACAACAGAGGCTATTTTGACTATTTTCGCACTGTCAAGTACCAACCTGAACAATAATAGATTTATTATTTTTATGTTAGGTAATAAATAATTCATCTTTTACACATATAAATTTAAGATGTATCCATTTTTTTTTTCTCCCTCTAAAAATGGACCTCACATGCATAAATAAATCTGCTGAAGATAATTATTATCTTCTGATATATAAAAAAACTGTTACTCTAAGAAAAAATAAATTAAAATAAAGAGAGAGAGAAAAATCATTTTAAAAATGAAAGAAAAAAAGGGGTTAGGGTTTGACCAAAAATTGCACAATCGCGTGCGACTCACATAGTGGAATCACCCCGATTCGGACAAGTTCGTTTCTCTTCTCTGTGCCCTTCGCTCCCGAAGACCCATCATCCCCCGCTTATCCCGAAACTCGCGGCTTTTTAGAGAGAGAAAATCTGTGGCAAAAAGCTTCTGCTAGAGAGAGAAAAAAATGGTGGATGATGATGCCCCTTGAATCGGAGGGGAAAAAATTGGGTTTTTCTTGAATTTTGGAGGGGTTTGAGGTTTTTACTTTTGTGGGGTCTCTTTGTATTTAACGAATTCTGATAATTTTTTTGAGAGGGTTTGAAGTGTGAGTGATCTGAATTGGGGATTTGGTTGTTGGCACATGCACCCCATTGAAATTGTCAGATAGTTTGCATGCAGTCTGGTGGCGGCGGTGGCGGTGGGCCAGGCCGGAACCCCGGAGTGGGGCCGGCTGGGCGGGCGGCGGCTTCGACGTCATCGGCGGCTGCGTCACCATCTTCTTCGTCTTCGGCATCGCAGTTGGGGTTGGACTCATTGCAGCAGCAGCAGCAGCAGCAGCATCAGATAGGTTCTAGGCAGGTGTGGATTTATGGGTTTTAGCTGAATTTCTAAGATGATTCGGTAGAACATGTTATTGTGACAAGCTTTGGTTATGGCGGGGTTGGTAGTGAGTGGTAGTGGTACCTAGTGTTTGTTTTGTGTGCAGTGCTGTTAGATTATGGGTTTTGATGATTTCTAAAACACCTCGTGGGGTTTTGGGAATTGTGAGTGCGGTGCATGTCGGAAACTGGGTTGTAGTGTAACTTGCATTTTTTATTTTTTTATTTTTTTTTATGACAACCTCGTAACTGTCTTACTTTTTTTGTCGGGTTGGCGGTTGTTTACTTCTAGAACAATTAATTTTTTAAGTGTACAAGAAGAGTCAAACTAGGCATGTGTAAATTTAGTAGAATGTGCAAAAGTGATGGAAGCATTGAACTTGGGTGCCATTGAGTGTTGTTCACATTGTCAGTTTTTTCAGTGAAGTTTCCTTTCAATCACAATAATGTGAACTATGCGGTGTTTTTTGAATTTTTTTACTTTTTGGTCTTTTTGCATTTATTTCATGTTCAAATTTGACGTTCAATTATTGGCAAACATAACTATTCTGTGTATGCTATTTCTTTTCTGAAATGTTCCTGGAATTTCCTTTTAGACATTGGTGAGGATTATGAAACGTCTGGGTAATAAAACCTGAGGTTTGTGTTTTGGTTTAAATCCCCTTCCTCCCTTTCCCTTTCATTTCTCTCTTCAGGTGCTACTGTTGTAGTTGTAGTTTAAACGCATTGATGAACAACTGTACATTACAATCAGACAAGCTCAAGTTTCAATAGTTAAAAGTGTTGTTTTGTCTACTTCTGCATATTGTCAAAGCCGGCCTTAATTGTTCCTGCTGTTGACTATCCCTTACTGTTATTAGTTGTAAAATTTGAGTGATGTCATTAATTTTAAATTCTCGGGTTCTTGTTGACTTTTAGTTTTGTTTCTAATGCACTCTTAATGGGAAAATCATCAGTATATCTAACTTCTTTCTCAAAATGTTGTGATCATTAATATATGACTGATTTTCTGCATGTTTTGTGGTAATGGTGGTTAGGAATCTGTCATAACTCATAATCACGGTCTCGTTTCTGCTTTCATGTTTTTTACTTGACATTATTTGGTTTTTGCTTATGTATTGTACTGGTAGCCTGCATAATTATCATTGAATTTTCTTTTCTACCTTTTAGTTTTCATTTTTTTTTATGAAAGTCTCAAGTCATGAACACTGTTGTAAGTTTTGGAACCAAATGTGCTTGTTATACTTAACAGTTATTGTATTTTCTTGTGTGTCTTGATTTCAATGAAATTTTCATTATGATCTTATATCTGTTTTGTTTTTAGTGCAACTGTTTCAGCACATGATTAGTGTTATGGAATCATGTCTTTTACTGTATACAAATGCAGTCATTTCAACAGCAACTACTTAGAAAACCTGAAGGGAATGAAGCTTTTTTAGCTTATCAAGCAGGACTTCAAGGGGTATTTGGGAGTAACAATTTTTCATCTCCTGGTGCCATGCAACTGCCCCAGCAGTCTCGAAAATTCATTGATATAGCTCATCATGGTTCCAACCAGGATGCTCAGTTAAGGGGTCAAGGTATTGAGCAGCAAATGCTAAATCCTGTCCATCAAGCATACCTTCAATATGCTCTACAGGCTGCACAACAAAAGTCTGCTTTGGGAATTCAGTCACAGCAGCAAACTAAAATGGGAATGTTAAACCCTTCTTCTCTGAAGGATCAGGAAGTGCGTATGGGAAATTTGAAGATACCGGACATTATGTCTATGCAGGGGGTGAATCAAGCTCAAGGATCATCCTCTAGGAATTCATCTGAACATGTTGCTCGTGGGGAAAAGCAGTTGGAGCAAGGACAGCAGATAGCACCCGATCAGAAGAGTGAAGGAAAGCCTTCAACCCAGGGACCAGCCATCACACACTTTATTCCTGGAAATATGGTAAGACCCATGCAAGCACCAGAAACTCAGCAGGGCATCCAAAATGTTGTGAATGCGCAGATTGCAGTATCTGCTCAATTGCAGGCTATGCAGGCATGGGCACGTGAACGTAATATTGATTTATCACATCCTGCAAATGCACACTTAATGGCTCAGCTCATTCCACTGATGCCGTCAAGGACGGTCTCACAACCAAAGGTCAATGAAAGCAACATTGGTGCTCAGTTATCTCCTGTCCCTGTTTCAAAGCAGCAGGTAACTTCTCCAGCTGTTGCAAGTGAGAGCTCAGCACATGCTAATTCACCAAGTGATGCATCTGGGCAGTCAGGTTCTTCAAAAGCCAGGCAGACAGTTCCACACAGTCATCTTGGTTCAACAATAAATGCTGGTATAGCTGGTAACTCCAGGGACATGGCAATGCAGCAATTCAGTGTTCATGGCAGAGAGTCTCAAGCTCCTATGAGGCAACCAGTATTAGTTGGAACTGGAATGCCCTCTATGCATTCTCAGCAGTCTTCTGCCAACATGAACTTAGGTGCAGACAATCCTTTGAATGCAAAAACTTCATCATCTGGTCCGGAGCCTCCTCAAATGCCGTACATCAGGCAGTTAAACCAATCTGCTCCTCAGTCTGGAGGTCCAACAAACGAAGGGGGTTCAGGAAATTATGCTAAATCTCCAGGGACACCAGCTCAAATACCTCAGCAACGAAATGGATTTACCAAACAACAGCTACATGTTCTTAAAGCGCAGATACTAGCATTTAGGCGGCTGAAGGTCAAAGTCTGATTCCTTTCTCATTCTGTCTGAGTCTGTCTGCCTTATGTGTATGTGTGCTATTTATATACTCCTATCAAAGATGTATTGTGTATATTCTTAATGGAGGTAGTCATCACTAATTTTCATTTTCTGTTGGTTGATAGAAAGGAGAAGGTACTCTGCCTCAAGAACTTCTTCGGGCTATTGTTCCAGCACCTCTTGAGATGCAGGCGCAACACCCAAATCATCTTCCAGGAGGACAAAATCAAGACAAATCTGCTGGAAATATTGTGGCAGAACAACCAAGGCACATTGAGTCCAATGCAAAGGAGTCACAATCTATCCCTGCTATTAATGGACAGAGTTCTTTAAAGCAGGAATCCTTTGCCCGAGATGAGAAATCTACCACACCACCAGTTCATATTCAAGCTATTATGCCACCTATGTCAAAAGAATCTGCTCCAACGTTATCTGCTGGAAAGGAAGAGCATAAATCAATGGGATGCTCTGTTAAGTCAAACCAGGACAGTGAACGTGGGAACAGCAGTACTCCAGTTAGAAACGAGTTAGCATTAGATAGAGGAAAGGGTATTGCATCACAGGCTTCTGTATCTGACACAATGCACATTAAGAAACCTGCACAAGCAAGTACTGTTTCCCAGCCAAAGGATGTAGAATCCACCAGAAAATATCATGGACCCTTATTTGATTTTCCTTTCTTCACTAGGAAACATGACTCCTTTGGGTCATCAATGATTTTAAACAACAACAATAATTTGTCACTGGCATATGATGTCAAAGATCTTCTTTTTGAGGAAGGAATGGAAGTACTTAATAAGAAACGGACAGAAAATTTAAAGAAGATTGAAGGTTTATTGGCAGTAAACTTAGAGAGGAAAAGAATTAGGCCAGATCTTGTGTTGAGGCTGCAAATTGAAGAGAAAAAACTTCGCCTTTTAGATCTTCAGGCACGTTTAAGGGATGAGATTGATCAACAGCAACAAGAGATAATGGCAATGCCAGATAGGCCATATCGTAAGTTTGTTAGGCTGTGTGAGCGTCAACGTATGGAACTTGCTAGACAAGTACAGGCATCACAGAGAGCTGTAAGGGAGAAGCAACTCAAATCAGTATTTCAGTGGCGTAAAAAGCTTCTTGAGGCACACTGGGCTATTCGTGATGCGCGTACTGCCCGCAACAGGGGGGTGGCCAAATATCATGAGAGGATGTTGCGGGAGTTCTCAAAACATAAAGATGATGATAGAAACAAACGATTGGAAGCCTTGAAAAACAATGATGTCGACAGATATAGGGAGATGTTGCTGGAGCAGCAGACTAGCATCCCGGGTGAAGCTGCAGAGAGATATGCTGTTCTGTCAACTTTCCTAACCCAGACTGAAGAGTATCTACATAAATTAGGAAGTAAGATAACGGCTGCCAAAAATCAACAGGAGGTGGAGGAGGCAGCAAAAGCTGCTGCAGCTGCTGCACGATTGCAGGCATGCTTCATTACCCCCCCCCCCCCCCCCCCCCTTCTTTCCGAATGTTGCTATGTTCTGCGAAAAGTCTCTTGTTTATTCCCCTTTTTCTGTACAATATAATTTTGAGGATTCATTTTGATGTTTTCTAGTGTACTAGTTGAACTTTTCTTTGAGATCATTTACATGACTCTGATGCCTTATTGGTTTTTAACCAAAGGGTCTTTCTGAAGAAGAAGTCAGAGCGGCTGCAGCTTGTGCTGGAGAGGAAGTGATGATTAGAAACCGTTTTCTAGAGATGAATGCCCCTAGAGACAATTCATCTGTCAACAAGTGAGTTTTGTTAGTTTATTTTTAATATGTATGTGTTTTGAGTTTTGCCAAAAACATGCTTGAGGGGAGATGTATTTTTAGAGAAAATTGTTGGCTCAAAATGTGTTTTTGCTTCTTTCTTTTTGGATTTAATTTCAATGTCCTGATCTTGTTCATATAACTATGTTTTCAAAACTTTATTTAATTTGGTCTTATAATAATGCATCTGGTGATTGATTGTTACCATTTTTGGCTACTTTCCAGGTATTACAACCTTGCTCATGCTGTGAATGAAGTGGTCATAAGGCAACCATCAATGTTACGAGCTGGAACATTGAGAGACTATCAGCTTGTAGGTTGCTACATTATATGAATACTATTCTTTTATTGCTTTATGTTGTCTTCCTGAGCAGGTTTTTAAGGTTTTGACACATTATTTTTTCAAGGTTGGTTTGCAATGGATGCTTTCTTTGTATAACAACAAATTAAATGGAATTTTGGCAGATGAGATGGGTCTTGGAAAAACTGTACAGGTTAGTCATTTTTTTTGCTCTTCCTTAGATTGGGAAGAACATTTATCATGATTTTTTTTTCACCTGAGTGACTTCACAGTTCATAATTAAGTTTCTTATATCCTACATGGGAGATGTTAGATGGTTATTAATATTTTTATGGTAATGCATAATTTTTTACTGTAGGACTTGTTCTTTCTGTAAACTCTAATATTTCTTTCTCTCCAGGTTATGGCATTGATTGCATACTTGATGGAATTTAAAGGAAACTATGGCCCACATCTTATAATAGTCCCAAATGCTGTTTTGGTTAACTGGAAGGCGAGCTTTTAAAATTTTCATTTGAAGGATATTCCTTTTCTTTGTGATTGTGTGTGTTTTTTAACATGAGAAATTATGTCCATTATGCAGAGTGAGTTGTATAATTGGTTACCATCCGTGTCATGTATTTTTTATGTTGGAGGGAAGGATCATCGGTCAAAATTATTTTCTCAAGTTAGTATGGCTCAACTTATTCACTAATAATGTTAAGAGTATTTTGATATTTGCTGCCAAATTTCCTTTTCTGTTATATTTGCAGGAGGTTTCTGCTTTGAAATTTAATGTCCTTGTGACTACTTATGAGTTCATCATGTATGATCGGTCAAAGCTTTCAAAAATTGATTGGAAGTATATCATAATTGATGAAGCACAGAGAATGAAGGATAGGGATTCAGTTTTAGCACGGGATCTTGATAGATATCGTTGTCAAAGACGCTTGCTTTTGACAGGAACACCTTTACAGGTTTGCTTTGCTTTGATGCAATATGCAATATTATATGCAGTACTGCCTGTGACTGTATGTATTCATTTATTTCTGTCGTTCTCTACCTTTAGACCAAACGCTACCTGTTGAGATCAACTATGCAGTTTTGTATTTTCGTGTTCAGCTTGTGCTTCCTTTTATAATAAAATCTTTTTGTTCCTCCACATGTTAAATATTTGCAAAGATGCTAACACTAGAGGGCTGTAACAATTACGACTAACTTGCTGAGCTATTAGTAAAGAATTAATTTACCTGTATGTGAACCCTTACAAATTAGAACTTTTATTTAGGTAACCTCGAGATATGTTGTTACGATCCTACTCCAAGGTATAAGACTTGGAGTCCAACATTGATTATATGGGTGACTAATGTGGGGTTTATATGGACTTTGGGCTTCCTACCTCTTGAGTTAGCTTTTGGAATGAGGTTCTCTCAAGGTTCGTATCAATTGGTATCAGAGCCTTCCACTATGTCTCCCAGTTGCAATCGAGCGGCGCGGGTGGTGACGCTGGCATTGTAGTCTTCGCCCAGTGCTAGTAAAAGATTAGTGCAAATCTAGCTCGCCAGGGCTGCAAAACGTGGTGGAATGTTACAAGGTATGAGACTTGGAGTCCCACATTGGTTATATGGGTGACTAATGTGGGGTTTATATGGACTTTGGACTCCTATCTCTTAAGCTAGCTTTTGGGGTGGGGTTCTCCCGAGATTCGTATCATATGTTGTATTGTATTCCATAATGAGGAGTTTTAATGTGCCTCTTCCTTTCTGAGCATGGGAGTCAAAATCGTGAATTGGGTCATGGGATTGTACATTCTCATGCGTTTTGCCTCCACCAACAAGCTAGATTGGTTGCTAGATTGTTTGGAGCAAGATTGTCCTGGATCATTAAATAAACTCGCAGAATCGATGGGATTGTGTGATCCCACCATGCTGGACGACCTGTTGGCTCTACTACTCATCCTCCCACCCTGGTCCATCTTCGCCACCACCAGTAGGTTGCTCAAGAGCGGTGTGCTCATCAGGACACAGCGCAGTGAAATGTGTCTTGCGGCTCTTGCGCTACTAGAAAGTAGAAACCCTTGGGTTGAATTTCATTCTCTCGTTCTGAACCAAGTGTTTGGTGACAACAATGAGTGTATATGAAAACTTTCCCTCCCCCCGCCCCCCTTTCCCTCCCCCCATTTTTAAATTAAAATTTTAGTTGCCAATTTTTAGCGTGGTCTTGGTTGGGGTCCTACTTTTACCGACTCAAGTCAGCCCAAGTTGACTCAAGCTCGACGAGGACATGCCTGCTAGACACCTTTTCCTGGAAAGATTGGGCATGCTGGACCAACTTAGTTGTCATGTCGGTATGGGCTGAATTTAGATCCAAAGCTTGTTTTTTCGCAATGCTTTTTTACTTGCTACCCAACATATACATATTTTCTTATCTATTTTTTTAAATCAGTAAAATATAAAATAGTATAGATTTTTTTATGGGCAAATATAATTTTTATTTAATTATATGTTTCGTTTATTTAAATTATAAAAAATAATATATTATTTATATATTTACTTAATCACTAATTATTTAAACTGTGGATACTTTCATAAAAATAAATGATATAAAAAAATGTCCTAGTTTTAGTTAAATGTTAATAGTGATTTAAAGGTTGTTTTTCTTATTTATGTTATTTTATATACACATATATATGGTTGAATATAATATTGTATCTTGGGTAGGATCTTACTATCCCACAATTTTACTAGTTTTAACCCCTTTCAATCCTACTTATGATCTCGATTTTGACTACCTTGTTTCTGAGTGATGAGGACAGGCAAGGCATGAGAAGCAAATTTTCTATTACAGAACCATTTAAAATTAAAATTTTCTCCAACAGTGTTTATTGACAATAAGGAAGAGTACCTGATAAGGCCAGATCAGCTTTAACTGAGCTCATAGTCCTAGTTTTGTCATTCCTACCTGATGGATGATGCTAATCATGGTACTAAGCCAATTAGCAGTTACCTTTGGTTCACGGAGTTTTTTTCTGTTATAAGTTGCTATGTCAGATACTATTATGCTTTTGTTATTGGCCTGTATTTTAATTACGTCAAAAGCTTGAGTAAGTTCTCTTGTTACCATAATTATGGGTCAAATATATTTCAGATTATGTCAAGCATGCTTGTTTGGTAGTCACTGGCAATGTAGTCAAAGTTCTCCTACAAGTAATTCATAATTTTATTGTGGTTTTCTCGAAAAAATAAATAATTTCATGTTTAGAGTATTGAGGGATGTGTTCTATATGTTAGTGTCAAATTGATGCCAATTGATAAAATCATATAAATACTTGATGCAGTGTAAATTTTGTTGATGGGATTATTCATGGTGTGATTTTTCTGCAGAATGATTTGAAGGAACTCTGGTCACTTTTAAATTTACTTCTTCCTGAGGTTTTTGATAATAGGAAAGCCTTTCATGATTGGTTCTCAAAACCATTTCAAAAGGAAGGTCCTACCCAAAATGCAGATGATGATTGGCTTGAGACAGAGAAGAAAGTTATCATTATCCATCGTCTTCATCAGATTCTTGAGCCTTTTATGCTCAGGCGTCGTGTTGAAGATGTTGAAGGCTCGCTTCCACCAAAGGTGTGATTATTGCCCCCCTAACTTGACCACTTGCTCTTTATCTGGTGGCTCAGTCCTAATATTAGTGCTGCATTGCAGGTCTCCATAGTTTTAAAATGTAAAATGTCAGCTGTCCAGGGTGCCATTTATGACTGGATCAAATCAACAGGCACCCTTCGTCTTGATCCGGAGGATGAGAAATGCAGGGTTCAAAAGAATCCAGTCTACCAGGTGAAGCAATATAAAACTTTAAACAACAGATGCATGGAGCTGCGTAAAACTTGCAATCATCCATTGCTTAATTACCCATTCTTCAATGATTTATCTAAAGACTTCCTTGTAAAATCTTGTGGAAAATTGTGGATCCTGGATAGGATCCTCATAAAACTTCAAAGAACCGGACATCGAGTTCTACTGTTCAGTACCATGACAAAGCTCCTAGACATCTTGGAAGAATACCTTCAGTGGCGAAGGCTTTTGTACAGAAGAATTGATGGGACAACTAGTTTGGAAGACCGTGAATCAGCTATAGTGGACTTCAATAGCCCTGGTTCAGACTGTTTCATCTTCTTGCTTAGTATTCGAGCTGCTGGGCGAGGCCTTAACCTTCAGTCTGCTGACACAGTTGTCATTTATGATCCTGATCCAAACCCAAAAAATGAGGAGCAAGCAGTGGCCAGAGCTCATCGAATTGGACAGAAAAGAGAAGTCAAAGTTATCTACATGGAAGCGGTTGTTGATAAAATCTCTAGTCATCAAAAGGAGGATGAAGTGAGAAGTGGAGGATCTGTGGATCTGGAGGATGAACTTGCAGGTAAGGATCGCTATATAGGATCCATTGAGAGCCTCATAAGGAACAATATTCAACAATATAAGATAGAGATGGCGGATGAGGTTATTAATGCTGGACGCTTTGATCAAAGAACAACACATGAAGAGAGGCGTTTGACCTTGGAGACATTATTACATGATGAAGAGAGGTATCAAGAAACTGTCCATGATGTTCCTTCACTGCAGGAAGTAAATCGTATGATTGCCAGGAGTGAAGAGGAAGTTGAACTGTTTGATCAAATGGATGATGAACTGGATTGGATTGAGGAGATGACACGTTATGACCATGTGCCTAAGTGGCTTCGAGCCAATTCAAAAGAAGTGAATACTGCTATTGCTGCATTATCAAAAAAACCGTCAAAGAACACTTTATTGGGTGGTAGTATTGGCATGGAATCAAGTGAATTAGGTTCTGAAAGAAGAAGGGGACGACCCAAGGGGAAAAAACATCCTAATTATAAGGAGTTGGAAGATGAAAATTTGGAAAACTCTGAAGCAAGCTCTGACGAAAGAAATGGATATGCACATGAAGAAGGGGAAATAGGAGAATTTGAAGATGATGGGTGTAGTGGGGCCGAAGGAGCTCAGCCCATTGATAAAGATCAATTGGATGATGGTCTGCTTTGTGATGCTGGATATGAATTTCCTCGATCTATAGAAAGTGCTAGAAATAATCAGATGGTTGAAGAAGCTGGTTCCTCTGGGTCTTCCTTAGACAGTCAAAGGTTGACACAGACAGTATCACCATCAGTTTCCTCTCAGAAATTCGGTTCCCTCTCTGCATTAGATGCCCGGCCAAGTTCCATTTCAAAAAGGATGGTATTTGGCTTTACTGTGTATTTTGAATTTTTTATTCTATTGTGTTCAGTTATTGTTTTGTTCTATCTCATTCTGATTAAATATCTTCTGATAATTTTTGCCAGACAGATGAGTTAGAGGAAGGGGAAATTGCTTTATCTGGTGATTCTCACATGGATCATCAACAGTCTGGAAGTTGGATTCATGATCGTGATGAAGGTGAGGATGAGCAAGTTTTGCAGAAACCAAAGATTAAACGTAAACGTAGTCTTCGTGTTCGACCCCGTCATGCCACTGAAAGGCCTGAAGAAAAGTCTGCCAGTGAAATGACATCTCATTTGGCAGTCCAAGCAGACCATAAACATCAAGCGCCACTGAGGACTGACCTAGAAACAAAACCATTTGGAGACTCCAACACCAGCAGGCATGATCAAAACACTTCATCATTAAAAAACAAGCGAACTTTGCCTTCAAGGAGAGTAGCTAATACATCCAAATCACACAGCTCACCGAAGTCTAGTCATTTGAATTGCATATCTGCTCCTTCAGAGGATGTTGGTGAACATTCCAGAGAAAGCTGGGAGGGGAAGCCTATCAATTCAAGTGGCTCTTCAGCTCATGGCACTAAGATGACTGAAATCATCCAGGTATGCGTTGTTAATTGATCAATGTTGTGTATTTTTCTATGGTGATCGGCTCGTGTTTTCCTGGATGGAGTTGGTGTTACTGCATGTCATATAATGACAGCAAGCAGAAATCCTGATTAATTTTTCTTAATTAACGACAATAGTAATACAATAGAAAAAGTATAAGTTTGTAGGTCCTGACCCTTGGGTAGTTGGGTTTGATACTTGCCGGTGGTACTTCATTGGTAGGTCATTTGTTAGTAGTAGTACCATTGTAGACCCCCGTCGAGGCTTGTGGGATGCCCTGACCTTGGAATGAAGCAACCTCCCCTACCCTTAAACAACAGTATCAGTTTGTTAGGTCTCTGATGTGAGGTATCTTTACCAGCTGCAATCTGAAAATATTTTTGACTTTGTTCATTTCCGTTTTTCATCAAGACATTTCTGTTGGCTATATTGATTTAATCTCACTTCTTTTCCATACTAAATAATCTCCATACTCTTAAGTATTGGAACTCATACAATTTCTGCTCTTGCAGTGCAAAAATGTAATTGGAAAACTCCAAAAGAGAATAGACAAGGAAGGCCTTCAAATTGTACCTTTGTTAATGGATTTGTGGAAGAGGATTGAGAATTCTGGGTACACTGGTGGATCCGGGAACAGCCTGTTGGATTTACGAATGATTGATCAACGGATTGATAGATTGGAGTATAATGGAGCAACAGAGCTTGTATTTGATGTGCAGTTCATGTTAAAGAGTGCAATGCAATTTTATGGTTTTTCTCATGAGGTGAGATTTCTTATGTGTATCATCAAACAAAATGGTTCACTCTTTTGGCTTTTGGTGGTAACTGTTACACGCTTTTTTTTAAAAAAAAAATTAGCAAGAGTTATGTCTTGCACTTCGTATCCCAAAAATAAAAATTCTTGCTCTTTATCTCCGACCACTACTTTACAGTGATTCTTCACTTTTACTGCTTGAATTTCAACAGCACTGTTAAAATTATCATTATTCTCAGGTAAGATCTGAAGCAAGGAAGGTTCATGATCTCTTTTTTGATATCTTGAAAAAAGCATTTCCTGATACGGACTTCCAAGATGTAAGAAGAGCACTTTCTTTCTCTGGTCAAAGCAAGAGACACAAGCTGATAAATAAGGTGGAAACTGATTCACACCCTTCACAGAGGCCACTGCAGCGTGGACCGGCTTCGAGTGGCGAAAACAACAGGATGAAAGCCCATGTGGCACAAAAGGAATCAAGAACTGGAAGTGGTTGTGGCAGCACTAGGGAGCTGCTTCATCAGGATGATTCTCCACTGCTCACACATCCAGGTGAACTGGTTGTATGCAAGAAGAGAAGAAATGACAGGGAAAAATCATTGGTGAGGCCTAGGACTGGTCCTGTTTCACCTTCTAGCATGGTTCCTGTTATGAGAAGTCCAGGGCCATGTTCAGTCCCAAAGGATGCTAGATTAACTCAACAGAGTCCACATGGATCTGGTGGCTCAGTTGGCTGGGCCAACCATGTAAAGAGGCTAAGAACAGATTCTGGGAAGAGAAGACCAAGCCATATATAGGTTTCTCAAGGACAAAAGGTTGGTATATAATAGACATTGCTACTAGTTTCAGGAAGAGTTTTAGTGGCCCTTCATAGAGTTTTAGTGCCCCCATACTGTGTTAATATAGAATTAGGCCCTAAGTTGTATTTTACGGCTACCTAAATGGGTTAGATGTAAGTTGTTACTCCAATTTTTTTTGGTTTGGGTATCTGCATCTTGCAGATATTGCTTTTCTTTAGATAGCTGAAACTCCTGTATAGTAACCTCCTTGGTTCATGTTAGGCCATGAAGATTTCTTCATCTCTACAAGATTTCTTTAGATACCTATATTGTTTCCCTCGGTGGCAGTTCTCTCTCCGGAAATGTGTCACATACAAAAGCTACGAGCCTCATTGTTTTGAGCATAAATGAGTATAATAGAATCAACTTTGAGCATAAATATCTTTTACCTCATTGTTTTGATCTAAAAATCAAGTAGTACTACTATGTTGTTCTTGATGGATAATTTATGAACCAAAAGTTCAGAGGAGGAAGATGATTTATTGTTGGAAAGCATGTAGCCGCATAGACATTTGACAAAAAATCTGCAAAAAATAATAATAAAAACACAAAAATAGTGGTATCTACAACTGTCAATTGCCAAAAAAATGGTACGAGTCACGGACAGGGTTGCCATTGCAAATTCTAATCTTGATGCAATACATGTGGATTTCCCCTGTTGTTTCACAATCATTGATGAACAGAGTTCTCTAAATACAATGAAGAGATTAGGTGAAAGTAAATCATTTTGTCTTGATCCTAGCTTTGGTTAGGATGCTTGTTTCCATTGATTAAAAATGACAAAAAGAAGATTCACAATTCATTATCAAGTTAATCCACTTACTTGAAATCTCATTTGTGAAATTTCATATTAAAATGAGACTTAGTCTTATTATGATGTGAATGTTCTCGACTCAAATAAAATTAACTTTTGTAAAGGATAAATGTGGTTTATTCAAAAAAAGATGAAGTTATTTCACCTTATTGTAAGCCTTCCTCTCTCAATCTCGAATAGTATTATTACCAAGGAAAATTATACTCTCATGTTGTATGAGATTAATCTCTTATATTATTCACGTTAAAAAATGTGATTTTTTTAATTGGTGAATTTCATTTTATTTGTCTAGAGAACTTCCCCCTATTATATGAGAGAAATAATCCCCTATTACCAATTATGTCATTATCAATTCAATGAGAATAGTAGGGGCATGATTAGATTTGTGTAATCTCTATTGCTTCAAGAAAGCCATACTCCTCCTTTAAATCTCGAGGAAGCCTTCTACAATGGCCCGTTTGAACACATAAACATACCAATATGGTTTAGAGACTGAAAAAACAACATTAACTTCATTTTCATTTCCAAAAGGAAAAACCTTTAAAAAATGATGAATATGTTAAGAACCCTAGTCCATTATTCCGATCCCATAAGAAACAGTATGATATATGATTGACTTTTGACACCTTACGTTTAAAACATAAAAAAAAAATATTACCCTTATAAATTACAGAAGTTTTAGAAAAGCTTGCATTTTTTAACAATTAAATTACATATTTTAGTGCTTTAATTATATTTTCCCCTTCAAAACTTGGTTAATACAAGTGAAAATTAATTTACTTAATATATTACGGGTTAAAGTTAAAGTAATATATAGGTCCTTGTAGTTTCGTCGATTTTTATGTAAGTCCTTGTAGTTTAAAAGTTTGCAATTTATTTAAAATTCTTCAAATAAATCCGTATATGTTAATTGCGTTGACTTTTAATTAATCATTACTAGACTATAAAGACCTATTTCAAAACTCAAATAAATTATTGAAAACCTTGATAGCCGTCTATTTGTTAAGATTATGTAATAGTTAACTTTATGACCTTTTAAGCCTGTTATCATGAAAAAATGGACATTCCTTTTAAAATGGAAGGAATTGATTCCATTCTACATTATAATCTTTTATTATTATTATTATTATTATTATACATTCCATAATCTACGAATTAGTTTTGCATAAATTTTTTAATGGAAATCAAATCCAAAACTTATTTACATATTTTAATTTTAATAGAAACCAAAATGATCCCCAAAAAAGGACAAGGGAATTTTGGAAATACCATGAATGAAAATGGATTCTCTCGTGCCTCATTTAATATAAAATCATTTGAGACGATTCAAACTATCTATAGATAAATTCAATATTATCATTTTTTTCACTCTTTATCTTAATGCATGTGCTCTCTCTTTCTCTCTCTCTCAGTATGGAGAACTGAAACTATCTCGCATCACGTGAACATGTTAAATGACATATAAGGGGATTCATTCATTATCATTTATCTGAGTCTTATTCCAATATAATACCATTCTAGGCTAACAGCTTAAAATCCATGCACTTCAAAGGGATAAACAAGAAACAAAATAGCATCAGGAAATCAATGGTGCATTATTTACAGTGACAGAGTAAAGTAGCAGGAAGGGGAATTTTCCCCCTACCAACAACCAAGTACATTACATATAATATAATGAGGTGAATTAACATAACTAGAACATCATGTACAGATGAAATACAGAACAGAGATAAGAACATGACATCCATACATACAAGGCTAGGGGTCTGCCTTACCAGCCACCTGTTCATCACTAGAATCATATTCATCTTCAGTTAGCTCCTCATCACTGGATTTCTCTTCTGTGGCAGCTCCTATGTCTTCGGGCTTAGCATATTTCTCACAGTACTCTGAAAATTTAAGTCAAAGACATGTCACTATTTGTTAAATTAAGAAATTATTGTTCCTGAAAATTATACACAAATTTGGTTCTCAAAGAATTCAAGCCTAGATAGATAAACAAATCAAAGTTATACTTTCTGCAAGTTAGTCTTCACAAAAGACAGGTGATTCCAAACCCTTACCTATAGATAAGGTATGAACTTGAGTGAACAATGGGTAGATGTGATCATAGACATTTGAGTTTTGACATTATTATAGGTCAGATTTGCAAAAGAAAATAAGCCAGGCATAACATGATAGCAAGTCATTATGAAATCTTGAGTTGCAAATTATCTTATCAACAAACTCAATGGAAGGTTTATTTCCTTGTTGATACAATAATAATAAACAGCTAGGCTGCCTCCTAGCCAAGTCAGAAAATAAATATGCCACTCCCCGTTAAACCCCGAGTAGTGAAGGTGGGATGAAGGCAATACTTGTATACAGTCTTAACTTGGCATACTTGCAAAGAGACTGTTTCTCGGATTTGAACCCGTAACCTTTTAGCTCGCCCTCTCAAGTCAGAAAATAGATATCATATTTTTTATTCACTTGCACACGTGATTAAGGTATATGACATAAATGGAGATAGTATCTCCTCTTTCACAGGTAAAATTAACACCTAAGCTTTCTCCTCTGCAGGTATATATACCCATGTGCACCCTAGGTACTACCATATATGCCTCACTTTTCTGTTTAGGATTTGATGGCATCATCGGAGGCAGTAGCGAAATATGATAGAGATGGCGGTAAAGTCAGTTCTGTTGGCGGATGACAACTTGAGATAGTCAAATTTATGATGCAGTCAATAGAAGAAGAGCAGCAATAGTTTTTTTGTTAGTAATTGCACAATAGTAGGAGGTTAAGAATTATCAGTAAGTCATTATAACTGTTTGTGAGAGTGTATGTGCACATGTGTACTGCAGTGTAGTCCATACCTACTACCCTGAGGTCTAAAAAGTTAGTCCAAGCGTCTCTTCTGGTTTTAACAGTTTAATTGTAGCTCAAATTAGGAAGAACAACACAAAACCTCAAAGAAAACATAGCAAGCCTGTGATAGTATCCATGGGACAACTACACATCAACTAATACAGACACGTATATTCAGCAAATGATATTTCAAAAAGGACCAATACCTTTAACCCTTTGTTCATAGGTAGCTCGGTCACGCATCATTAAAGCTGCAGCTTCTCCATTCAAGGGGTCTGATGGATTAGGATACAGAAGAAGTTGTGGTATAAACACCTCAAATACGTTGACAAGATCTGGAAGAATGTAGATTTTGACATAAGAAAACAAACCAAAAATGTCAAAATGGAAAACTTGAATACAACGACATATTTTCTCAAAAGGTTTAAAGAAAGACCATTACCAAACATGGGGCTCCAGGTCTGATTGATAACATCAAGACAAACTGATCCAGACCTGAAATTATTATTATCCAAGATGATCACAAACTTAATTATTCTTAAAATTAACACATGAGGAAAATTACTCAACATAGACAAGTTTCAGATCATTAATACAAGTTTCTTACATCTCATCAACATTAGGGTGATAGATCTTATTGACAAAGCCTATGGAAGGAGATTTATAAGGATAGGCATCTGGCAGCTCAACTCTTACTTTCCACACACCTCCATGATAAGGACCTGCCAGGAGCCATACCATGGATGAAAAGAAAATTGAAAAAAAGGAAGATGCATAATACAGTAACAACACTTCTCTCAAAATTAATCATTCTATCTCAATTCAATATCTAGAATCAGGACAAAACAATATACAAAAGCGAAAATCAGCAACTACCATGGTAAATATATTAGGTATAACTAGAAAGCAACCAAAAAAAAAACTCATGCCAATCTTCTCCGGCTAAAAATTAGCTTCATATTCAGACCAAGAACACCACAATAAGTAAAGGGAAATCAATAAGAAAACTAACAATAATTGCTTTGTAAAATAACTCTGCAGATTGCAAAGAGCAATCAATACAAGAAACAAAACAAGAATGAAAAGTAGACAAAAGACTACGACTCTCATATGAGTATGTTTTTTGTTGCCACCCAAATCTAAATCCAGAGCCACCAAAGTCAGCATATGGTCAAATATCAATTACCCACAGTAAAAAAACCATCTTTATTATCCAAAATATTTCACAAGGAGCATCAAAAACAAGAAGAAGAAGAAAAAAACACATGAAAGGAAAATTTACTCTCATTGGGTCCATGGAAATGGACATAAAACTCTTGCATTCCATCATTAATCATCTCCACCTTGTAGTCACTCATCATCCTAATTAAAAAAATCAAAAGCAGAATCCAGAGTCAACGTAAGAAACCCAATCAGAAAAAGATTAAAACTTGAATGAAAATAGAGTGAAAAAAAAGAGAGTTGAGGATTAACAGTTTCATCAAGTCCATCTCTCGCCGCTTGCTTGGGGAAGACATTTTTTTCTTTTTTTTTCCTTCTCCCTTTTCTCTGTGATGCTTTCTTTTCCTTAGTTCCTTGCTTTTGAGGAATTGATTGAGAGAGAGAGAGAGAGTTTGGGGAGAAGAGATTTGTGGAGACCTTTGCTTGTGCAACTGAAAGAAGTAAAATTGG